GTGCTACTTGACCTTAAGGCCAGACCTACACACTGTATACAGACCCCTTTTGAAAGGGCCTAATTGCCTTTAACCTGTATCAGCTGTGTACTGCACTGCTGCATTATTGCATGTGCATGTCAAATTGGTCAAGTGCTGCATTTTTTCCCTGTACCGATACTGTTGTTCCCAGCCCTAAAACATCAGGGGTTTTCAAATTCCCAGACAGTATAGCTTAAATAAGAAACTTGTGGACTGCACTATAATTGAATCAAGCTATCAGTCTCTTAAAAAAAGTGTTTGAAAAGTGGCTGTGACTGTTGTTTATATTTTGTCTCATTTCAAATTATGCTAAAATAATTTATGCATGTGAGTAAACCTGTTTAGCTCTTACCTCATGAATCGTTCTTCTCAGGATTATGGTGATGGATTTCATCAGTAATTATATATCAGTTGGCTTCAGCTTTGTGTGTTCAGTGATTTGACCACAACAGTCCTCAGTTATCTGAACTAATGACTTCTGAATCTCAAACTGCCACTCTTTTCACTCAAATTCAAAATGATACATGCACTTTGAAACCAATTTTTTTTTCTGCTGTTCTCCAAAATGTTGCTTATGGTCAGCCATCTTTGAAGAGATGAACTTAAATACAGGCCTTTCGGTGGTTGTATCGCACTGAGTTCCGCAATAGCTATGACTTTACCACTAGCAGGCAGTGCTGTACCCCTCCCATGTGGCATAGAACTCTAGTCTCGGTGAACTGCCTATACATCTTGCTCTGATAGCATTTAAGCTATCATCATGCACCTTGATACGACAGATTGCTGACTACAGTTCTTATTGGTTACTGAACTGGAATGGCCTGACAAATATCAGTGATCCACAGCCAGGTCAAGTACATATTTTTTGGGCCAATGATTTCTTCATTGTCTTCAGCAATTGCAATTAATTTCCACTGCTTTATTTTTAACCTTCAGAATGACTACAAGAAAAAAACGAGGTTCACGAAGTGCAGAGCATATTATATACAGTTACATTACACAGTTTTATGAAGTTAGTTCTAGTATTTTCTGTTCAAGACTTCCAAAACATCATGTCATGAAAATGTAAAACAGTTAAGTGTACATGATGTATAACAGTTAGTTCTACAGTCTAATGTTCTATAAAACTTACTAAAAGGTATTCACTGATGATGACCACATTGGTCAAAACATGTAGTGTAAAACTTATAAAGTGAATATCTTTTAATAAGTTTTACAGAACATTAGTGTTGCACATGAGACTGTAGAACTGACTGATAATAAGTGAAACGTGCAACAGGATGCTACACTATAACATTATGTACATGCATCTTTACCCCTTGCAGGTTATCTGTTGTACTCATACACCTGCATAAATTAAATTTTGGTGCAGTATTAGGCTTTTAAATATTGGAGTGGGGGAAAATAGATTTATCTTTTTGATTTGTCATTTATGTGGATAAATGGAGTTCAGAATATGTCCTTTAGTGGACTAACTCTGACATTTAGTAAACGCTCCACTTCAGTGTTCGACTGACAGTTCAAAAATTCAAACAAAATAAATCAGATCTTATGGAGTGTCATGTTAAATGTTTACATAAATACTGAGTACATCAGAGTTTCAGACATAACATTTAAACCTTACATAGCAACATAATTACAATATTCTGGACTGTAAGTTATGTCATTTAGCTTAAAGGACAATACAGAGGTAGAAACAGCCATTTTATGCTACTAACTTGATACTGCTTACACCCTGAGAAAGTATTTATGGATGAAAATCTGATTTGAAGAGCAGTGTACCATCTAGTGACAAGAGTGAATGTGCAATGAAATAACTGCATTCCAAAAGTAGTAAATTCTTAAAATGTTCTCAGATTTTGTGTTTCATTTTATCCTGGCACTAATATCATGCCTGAAATATGTGTCACGCCCTCTTTTTATTGTTAGAAAGAGCAACACTTTATGAGAAATCATTAGCATAAAGGTTTAAGAAGCTTAAAATGCAAAACTTATAGGTCACTGGCTTGAAACTGATGGTTGGTCAAATTATATGGCCTAGAAATCCCAATATAGCCCATTACTTTTTTTTTAAGGATTTGCATTATGAGTGTTGTCTATTCCATGAAAATTAATGACATTAACAGGAAAGTATCATTATAATTGCAGCTGCTATCGCATACAGCTTAGCCAAGTATTGAGACACTGAGCACTGTTTTGTGTTTATTAGGCAAAACATTACATCTGCATTGAAGTCTAGTGAAAAAAACAAAACATAAATCAATAAAATGTTACCCTTTAAAATATGGGACTTCTTTGAAGTGATGTGGTACATCACCTAACCCCAGAATATATTAAGCCTGAATAAATCCGTGACTGTGCTTGGGCTACTGCAGTTATGTTCCACACATCTGTGGAAGCAAACCAGTTATTGCAAGTAAATATAATTTATTGCTATATGGAGTTTTCATGAAAGTAAGCTCAAATCTTTGCAAGCCCCTTCCATACAAATGTAAAATTTTACATTATTAATCTTAGCATTTCTCATTCTTAGTTCTATTTGTAACCCTTTCCATGTTATGCAGAACACATCTTGCATAAAAGTTCTGGCTCTTATAACCTGGATATATTTGATGTTTGAGAGGCTCAAGAAAAAAACTGTTCACCACTTCAGAGAAATTAGCAAACTACTTGTGTCTTTGCAGTAATGCAAATACTGTAATGGAAGAGTGAAGGGTTATTGATTTAGTTAAATTATTCACTATATATTGTCTAGAAATGAAAACTGATACACACTAAATTCTATAATTACAAGAGAATAATTCGTAATTTTATATAAATATTGTATTAAATTACAAGTGTAATGTACAGGTCAGTCTTTCTGTAGTAACATGAATCAGGGAACATGAGTCTAAAATATCAGTTTCTTCATTTTTTGCATGGGAATGTTATATGGACGGATGGACTCTGGTACTGCTTGGTTTATACACTTTGTTCTCAACCTTCTTAATTATATACACCACATGTGATCACAAATGTGGCACATATCTCCAGCAATAACACAGAAATGTTTCCCTTAATCTATACCAGGCAAGTTAGTCTAGCAGTAATACTGTATTTTATTTTATTTATTTGCAATTTATTTAACAATACTAAATAATTCAGACTACAGCTATAGTTGAATGATGGGAAAAGGGTGAATTGGAAAGAATGTGGAAGGGATGGGTCATGGCATAATTTAAGATATTATCCCAACATATCTGGAGGGACTTAACACATTGAGGACCGGTCGCATGATATCATGCTTTTGGCTTTTAAACGTGGCGGACCGGTTGCATGATAACATGATTTTAGGACGTGTTAGGTTGTAACACACTATACCTTTCTCTGGCGCCACCCAAATGAATGACTACTGCGTAATATTACTCCGGAATGTTGGCCTAGTAGGCATAACTTGACCTCGCTGTTTTGGTGCCCCCTCCAAAGGAAAATAATCTTTGACCGTTCAAGCTGTTATGTACCAGGCAGGAAGTTAGTGCAATATGAATCAAGGACAGAAGCAGTTGAAGACGAAGCGATATCTCAGAGAAATGGAAATATCTGACGTTCCTTCTGAGAGTAGTAGTGAAAGTGAGACAGTGGCAGTGACAGGGCTCAACAAACAATTGTGGCCACAGACAATAAAAGTGAAAGTAGCTCCGACGAAAGTGCAGGTAGAAGTGCCGGTAGTAAAATTGTGGGTACAGCCACATGGGGAAAAGTAGACAAAACGCCTACTTTGGGACAGTTTACTGGAAATCCAGGGGTGAAACAAATTCCATCCGACTCAACGCAAGTGTCTGAAGTACCAGAACTGTTTCTTGGAGATAGAGATACTCGTGTTGTGAATATGATTTCCACAATTCATAATTCGAGCATGGTTGATGTTCAAAGGAGACATGGCCAAGTAAAGAAGCCTATTTGTATATCTGAGTATATGTTCATGAAGGGAGTTGGTACAGCCGATCAATACTTGGCCTATTATTCTCTTCCTAGGAAAACAATAAAGTGGACAAAGAAAGTTGCCTTGTGGCTTATAAATTGTGCCATTTTCAATTCATTGTGGTTTACAGAAATCTAAACCCCGATTCGAAATTGAAATACAAAGCATTTCTGATGAATGTGGCAAAGGTCCAGGCTACAGACCAGACGGTGGCGGCAGAACGAGAGTCAGACACAGACTTAGTGCGACCAGGACCATCAACTCCCACCCCTCGCAGGCCTCATGCGGACCCCCCTGGGCGACTCTCGGGTGATATGCAGAAACATACCCTCATGAAAATTGTGAAGAGTGAACATTCCAAGGTGAAGCATACTTCTAGGCAATGTCGTGTGTGCACAGTTCACAGAAAAAGGAGTATGACTGCCTACATTTTCAAGTTCTGTGTAATGCCACTGCACAAAGGGGAATGTTTCCAGAAATATCACACTCTCAAGCACTTCTAGGAGCATTGGTAAGTGTTCTCCAAAACTTTTAGTTCATAAAATTAGGAGACTTTATATTAATTTTTAAAGTGAACAGTGCACAAGTTAGGGTAGTAGGTTTAAAAATGCCGGTCCATAGGGTGATTTAAATATTTAAATTGCCGGTCCACAAAGTGTTGAGAAAATATCATTGAAGACAGTCAGTAACCTGGCTGTGGTTCAAACTAGGCACCTCCTGAATCCAAGTCGGTAGTTAAAACATTCATTTGTTAGGGCATGGCGAGGTGTCACATATATAGGTATCTCTGAATATGGATGTCCCAATTGGAAATAAAAGTCATGATACACAGGAGCTTGCATCATCTGGGTAATGCCTTCAGTTACTCTGAAATGCTGGTAACCTTGCAGGAGACCATACAATGTCATAACCCAGAAGACCACAATCAAAATTTCTGCTGCTGTGGAAATATTAAATTTAATGTTGTTAATTTCATATGTTTCCCACCAAATCAAAATTAACGTAAAGTTATCCCTGGGCTTAATTAATTCATTAACCATGACACCATGATGATGTATGTGGGAGTGGAGGTATAGTTCCACCATTCGTGACCACTAAATGGAGGACAGTTGTCAGACTCACCCCAGGAGAACAAACCCAATACACATTGTATTAGAGGCTGGGTGGGCCCCAGAATTGGTCTGGATGTTATGGAGCATAGAAGAATCTCTTGTCTCTACCGGGAGTCGAAACCCAACTCCTCAGCCATCCAGCCCATAGTCTAGTTGCTGTACTGACTGAGCTATTGTGGCTCCCACACTGAAATTAAGCTCGACTAAATACATTTATTCCTTCTCCTGGACTACTACCTTAATGAGATTGGGAGGATTACATGTGCTGATCACCTGGAGAGCTACACTAGTGTGGGCATAAATTCTTGGTAGAGATACACGTTCTGAATAGGTTGAAGGATAGGGGCCCCTGGTCTTCCAGGTTGCAGGAATGAGTGAAAGTAACCTTACCTCTGAAAACAATGTATGTTGAGAAATCTACTGATGGATGTTGGACTGAAGGAACAACCGTCTCTTGTAATTAGGGAACATGTTCTTAAGAGGACTATAGAACCAAGGAGTAACTAAGTAAGAACACATTTACCATATAAAGTGAAACCCATTTAAGGTTACTTTGCAGAACAGTGGATTTGAACACTAAGCTGAGGAAAATCCTGAAATGGAGGAAATGTAACCCTGAGATTATTGTAATTGAACATTAAATGGCAGGAAACTCTTAAGGAACATTATGGAGGTTCTTCTGTACCCCCAAATACTGTATGTCACTGGAATCAATTCAGGAATTTTGAATATATAATATGTGATCACATACAACCTCCAAATAACGCATTTAGTTCAAGGTAATTTGTGCAAAAAGAGTAAAAAAATAAAAAAACATTACTAATCCATTTACAAGGGTCTAAATATAACCTTTAATTTATGTATAGAAAGGGCATTAATGTAATAACTTTCTAAATAGATTGCTTTCTCCCAGATATTTATAAGGAATATATAATTTGAGGATTACTTAACCTTCTGAAACACTGCGTTTTCATTTCTGTCTTACTGAAGGTAATGTATGGTAGGGTTATTTTTGGCTACTGAACCAGACTGTACATGCCCTTGAATTCTAAGTGCTGCTGCAGAAGAAGAACAGAACAGATGTTTTTCACATGTACAGTTTGCTTCATTAGTTAACAGCCCTATAATAATAATAATAATAATAATAATAATAATAAATGAAAAACCACACTTGTCAGTGTATAAGATACATTTCCTTCCCAACAAATGTTGTGATTTTTTAAAACTGTGACAAGGATTCACGGCTGCTGATATACAGAATATAAAACGTCACAGACCTTCAGAGTAAAAGATATCTAAGGATTTTCGGAGCATTTCTGAGGGAAATGAAACATGTCTTATACAATGACAAATATGACACTTATTGTGGAATAAATATTGCTTATGGTAAAGAACAAAGTAATATGAATGAATACATTTTATAACAAAAATAATAATTTTATCAACATTAAAGTAATGTAAATACAGTTTATTTCTGTGAAACAACTGTTTGTTAGAAGGCAGGATAAATCCATTTCACTACTCTGTCTTGTACTGAGATTCATAATTTATAATTCTATTGAAAGAATGTATTCCCAATTCTTGCTCTAGTTTTCTGGTGTCATGTTTACTTTTTGCTCAGATGATAATTTAGAATAATGCGATTATTATATATATGAGAGCAGGACTTTCCTAACCCATAATCCCGAAATATTAACTAACAAAATATGCATTAATTACTGGCATATTAGGTTATGAAATTGTCAGATGTGAACAGGTACATATGTCTGAATTTGTGAACAAGGCCATATTTGCGACTTGCCATAAAATCTAGCAGTGCTCTGGATGCTCCAGGGTCTTTGTCCTCTTCACCCCTGGCCACTCCAATAACATCAACCTGAACTCTGTCAGCTGGAATGGTTTTCAGCACCTGCAGTCATGAAATTAAGCATGGGATAAAGGTCCACCCAAAAGTATATCACAGTGCCTACACGATGAAGAAAATGGACTGTCTCATTAAGACAATGCCCGAGACAGGATAATGAGAGTGATTAATATTTCTAGATACAATGGAAAGTGCACGGGGAGGAACACATCTCGAGAAGCCCACTTAACCTTCATGCGGTATTTCTGACACCCATGTGGTGGCAGTATAATTACTGCAACTGGTAATTTAAGAGATTGCATTATTCCTATATAACCAATACCTCTGGTGTGGAGCAAATACCACTTAATTGAAGAGACTAAGTCATGGTGATATAACCATTACATCTGGTGTGGAGAAAATGCTGCTACCTAATTCAAAAAACCGTTCCACAGCGGTATAACCATTACATCTGGTGTGAAGGAAATGCCCCTACCTAATTCAAGAAACCGAGTCATGGTGGTATAACCATTACATCTGGTGTTGAGGAAATGCCACTACCTAATTCAAGGAACCAAGTCATGGCAGTTACAGTACATCTGGTGTTGAGGAAATTGCACTACCTAATTCAAGGAACCAAGTCATGGCAGTTACAGTACATCTGGTGTGGAGGAAATGCCACTGCCTCACTTTATGTTATGTTAATATAAGTTTGGGTTTCATACATTTGATGTGCTTAGTAAATTTTAAACCAGTCAGTCAGTTTTAGTACCTGTATTTCTGCCCCTTCTGCATCAAGACTGAGGTAGTTGAAAGCAGTTGCATTGATGGCCAAAAGAAGAGAAAAGAGTGGGAAGCATTTGACCCGTGTAAATACGTATTCCTGATTCCTGTCTGGACCTTCCACAGCTTCACGAAATGTGACCTAAAAAAAAAGGCATACATAACATGAATAAAAGGACCTTTTCTGACATTTCTAAAACTCTTTTAAACATCTGTTTTTATTGCTTGTTTATTATTTTATGACACAATATTACCTTCTAACTTCATCTAGCTTATTACTGTTGTATTGATTGATTGGATAATTAATATTCAAGCACAGTGGTTACTGTATGTACCGACTTCTTTAATGTTCAGAAACTTTGCACTTTACCCATAGAATATTTACATGGTTTGTAATATGCAATAAACAATGATTACTTCACTAACCAGTTGCTCTTTGCAATGGAGATAAAGTATGTTTCCTGTGAGGTAGGAACTGAATTCATAGCTATTATTTAGAAGAGTTTCAGGCTTAAAATAATTAATTAAAATAATTTGTTGTTCTAATCATGCTATTTAATTTCATTGCATCCAGACTCCATCATATTGGTTAATACAAACAGTTACGTTTGTGTAACAGAAAAAAAACTCATTTTTATGTGTATACATCACAAACAGGATGCAACAATACAAGATAATACAAATGTCTTTTATATATTAAACAAAGCAGAGGGAGTTTATCCAAATTTTACTACAACCATCCTAATCCATTAGGCATGATGATTGGTTAAATACTCATTACAGATTCAGTTCACTACAATAATTCAGAAGTTATGAGATAAAATAAAAGGTAAGTCCATTTGCATATTCAGGAAATGGGCACAAACTGCATGCATTATGTAGTGTAGTTTTCTCTTAAGTTTTTACTGGTGTAAATTTCTTATGGGATTTAACAGCATGTAGTCTGTTAGATATGTATCAACGTTTCAGAGCAATGTGCTGCCTTTATCTTCAGGGTAGAAAAGTAAGTTTTCTCAGGGGTATCCACAGTATCTCTAGGCAAGTACCGAGTGTGTTTGTAAGAAAATATTTTTGTGGAACCCTTTTTGTAATAAAATATTTTTGCAGAACTCCTGAAACAAAAACTTCATTTTTAAGCATTTATTTCTATTTTGCAAGTCTATATGCAGAAACTTACATTAAATGAAGTCCATATTTTAGGAAACAGTTTAAATCTTACTTACCTATAATGGACAGACCTACTTTCTTGTTACATGGACCTTAAATATCTGACATGCCAGATTAGTAATACAAACCTCTTTGGGATATGGTGTTGGACTAAGGCAAGCATGTATGCAGTGAGCTCCAACCCTGTTATAGGACCGGAGAATAAGATAATCCTTTGGATCGGGTTGAATCAACAGACCATGCCAGTTCAACTCCCTTTCAAGCCATTCAGTGTCAGATGATCGGTTGTGTCGATATGCCCCAGCTTCAACAAATATACCACCTTTCTGAAAGCATTAAATCAGTACAGAAATGGCAGAATCACCAAAATGATTGGTGAACCAGGATTTTATTTTCTCTTGAAGTGGGGATTTCTCTCTATACTATGCCCAGAATTACCCTTGGGGTCCATTCAGCCTTCTGTTCTTGAGTACTTAAGGCTGTTTCCCAAGATACAGGAGGCCAGGTTGGCCCCAGAAGCCATGGTACATGGTACCATAAAACTATGTAATTTCCAGTCCACTAATTGTGAACTTGTCATTTATTTTACATGATTTGGGCATATATTTAAGTTATGACTGCAGATAAAGCAACTGTACCTTAAACTGGAGAAGTTTGGCCACAACTTTTGTCTGTGGTGGTGGGTCTACGGAGGAGTTTCTCATTCCAGGTGATGACGAAGGCAAATGGAGATGTACCGCTCGAATGTAGGTAATGAACTGAGGGTCATCTTGGGCCACATTTCGAAAATCCAGATCTGTCATGTTAAAGGCTCGTCGTCTTGGTGCTATGGGAAGAGGTTTCATAAAACTATCAAACAGCCCTATATGTCAAAGTGCTGGCTGTAAGGAAATGGTAAAATGTATGGGAATCTATGGATTTTTGGTTTATTTAATAATGCTTAAATTTCTAGTCACCAGGAACAACATTTAGGCTAGTATTACTTGGTTCTTGGATATTTTCCATTGTCTGGAATTCTAGGTAATAGAGGACACGACATTTCAGAAACTGGATCTGTTTCCGTCTTCAGGTGAGAAAGGACAACATCTACTCAGTTGGGACCCTTAGAAAGAGCTAATCTCAATCAGTCTCATCCAGTGATTGAGATCAGCTCTTTCTAAGGGGCCCAACTGAGTAGGTGTCTTCCTTTCTCATTTGAAGATGGAAACAGATCCAGTTTCCTAAACGTCGTGTCCTCTGTTACCTAGAATTCTGGACGATGGAAAAAGTCCAAGAACCCAGTAATTCTGTGTGTCATCCACCATCGTCAGAACCTTTCAGAATCTATTTAGGCTAGTGTTGGCCTTCGGCCTAATTCTTTAAATTGATATTGATAATGATAATGATTTAATGATGTTTTATAAACTGTATATGAAGAATTGTGAATGAATTGGTTCATTTCCTTTCTAGTCTCCAGTACATCCATATCATTTAATGCTACCTAACCTCTGAAGACAAGTTTTATTAGCCTACAAACAACGCTGAGTAATCATCCTCTCTCTTCATTGAATGCTGCATCATTGCTGAAACTGGCATAACATCATTAAATGATCAGTGACTTCAGACTGACATACTCTGTGATGAACAAGATTTATGATTAGTGGCAACATGAGGCAGAAACAACTATGATTAATACATCACTCTATAACTAGAAGTACCGCGTATGTCTGTGGCCATCAGAAGCACCATCATGACTACAGAGAAAGCTGTCAGGAACACAGCATATGGAAGGAGACGCCTCAACAGGCCTGGGGTTGAAGATGCCACCATTCAACTGAACTTGGATTCCAAATTCTGCAAGACATAAATTGAAGGGAATGTGTTTAGAATTTTAAAGTAGTTATTTATATCAAATTTTCATTGGAAAGAATATGCATGTAACAATAACAAGGATCTGAACATTTCTCAAATTATGTCTGTTATATAATTTTGGTTATAAATGCATCCCAACTTCAAACTGTGTTTGACTCCTCTGGTATAGAAGGTATAAGTGGAATGTATTCTTACTTTAGTTGTTATTAGCCTACAAATATTGCTATTTCTTTCAATAAATGTTTCTCAGTAAACAGTAGTACAATATTAAAGACAAGATCCATAACACTTTCTGCTCAAGTTTAGGGTTCTAGGAGTTTGGTATTATATATGAAATATCTTTGCTCATATTTCGATATTTTCGGTCCTGGATTTATATTTTTGACAAACATAAGATCTCCATGCCTTTTACAGAGAAAGTATTTATAATGAGGTAGTTAATAGATGCCACGCTAGATGTAGCGATAATCAAAAAAGTCAATATATGGCATCTGATGGAACAGAAGAACTAAATTTAGAGCTTCCAAAATTACTCAGGATAGTAGTGATTATATGCATGTCACGTTTTCTTCCTTCATAATTTAAAACTTTAACGTATGTGGTGTCATTTAATTGATAGATTTCATTACTGAGGATACTTATTTAACCACGTACCTTATTACATGTTGTATGCCGGGTTTGTTGTTCAAATATACAACAATTCTAGGCGTTAAACTGTGATGAGGAAAATTGGTTATTTGTTTTACAATTTCTCAGAGCCACTATACATTTGACAAACTTTTTTCTCCCCTTGAAGATGAACCCAACCAGATGATTCGAAGTTCTTTTCACAGCAACCTTAGTTTCCAAGAAGGTCCACATTCGTCAGAAACGAGGTGGGAAAATCGGCCTTAAGCACAGCTGGTTAATTGATTCGCATCCAACCATTTACTGAACCTTTCCATGCCTGTTTCCTCGATGGAAAAGTACAGTCCTGTTAGAATCACATACACTCGAGCTGCCGGAAACGTGGATGAGGCGAAGGTTATGGATGTAAATAGCGACAAAGATAAGGAATTTGCTGCTGAGTATATTCCAGACCTTTACGTTCTCCTATTTGTTCTTTGTTTCTGCCCAACAGGATGGGAGAGTTTAGGAGTGGAACCTTATACCTTCCGCTTGCTGTGTGTGTGAAAAAATATTAAGCGTTATGTGTAATTACGTACAAGAGCCCATATAAAAAGTGTTTAATTTTTAAATCAGGCTGTGAAATACACAGCCTATTGGTGACATGGAGAGCGAAAAAATAATTTAATTCCGTACCTGAACTCCCCACAAATGTACGCATTTTACTATAACATAAAAAGAAATGCCAGATTTCCCTTTAAGTTCAAACACATTTCGCAGAAAAAAATTGACATAACTACAGGGCCAGCCGGTGGTGGGGATTTGAAAAACATAATATATTTCTGTAACAGGGGGACGAATGTAACTGAATTTCTTTTGGGTAGGAAACAGACAACAATATTTGTCAAAATTTTAGAATCACGGCAGCGGATTTTATTGCAATTTGAAAGCAGAAAAAGATTGGTTTTAGATAGTTTGATTACTCTGTATGAACTGCAGAGGTTGTACGTCACATGAAATGGATGAACTACAATAAACTGTACATGTAGACGGATATCGAACAATGTTCGACGACGTGATTGAAAATAATTTCCCCTGAGAAACTTCACTTTTCTACCCTGAAGATAAAGGCAGCACGCTGCTCCGAAACGTTGATACATATCTAACGGACTACATGCTGTCAAATTCCATAAGAAATTAAGCGCCATACTCACCTCCGTAAGAACCCCACGTCTCGCTTTTGTGACAACTTGTCCCTTAGCCAAGATTCGAACCGTGCAAATCACGAATACAAATCAGATACAGTACAGCAATGCACACCTCAAATCGTCACGGTCGCGTGATACCGGAGGTGCCTGGTTCAAATCTTGGGCCAGACACCACCTGTCCTAACTAAGATTTGCCTTGTGTTTTTTCACTTCCTCCAAGCAAATCCAGATGTAGAATCTCACATTATTTCACAGCAGGTTCATTCCACATCCCTTCCAATTAATTTTCAACTAATTAACTTATTAGTCGACGCTGTATGAGTTGATCTTTTTGAGCGCCATTAAATAAACAACAAATATGTAAGTAAAGTTGTTTGTCCCTGTACTTAAGCACCACGCCATGGAGACGTATGCGGGAGTTGAGGCATAGCGCCTAACCTCAACACTAGGTGGAAGTCAGCGGTCTGCTTCACTTCTTGGCTGCTTTAACCCCGAGGGAGAACAGCTCCCGGTAGGCCTGCCAAATGAACAGGAGATTGGATGCGTCCCATAGCAAGTGTGGACATTGTTGAGAAGAAATCGAGACATAGTTCTCTTGTCGTCTGGCCCGTTACCTAATCACTGTACCGACTCATCCAGTGAGGTTCTTGAAGTAAATAAATAAATAAATAAACACGCCTCTTCTGTAGAACATCAGGGCATGTGGAAGTCACAGTGGCAAAGCGTACATTCTCAGAATTTGATGTTAGCTGGAAATGAGAGTTCAGCTTCACGCTCTTGCAGCCACTACTTGGCAATCTTTTGCTGGACCTCTGGAAGGTTCCAGGACCCTTCAGGAGGTGCGGGTGGGAACATAACAAATGACTACACAATCAGTAGGAGCGTTCATTTTAAAACCAGACCGCAGTCTTTGAGGCGAGATAATCGGTTAAACTGGCTCCACCGCTGGGTCCAACGCGGATCTCGGACACACCCAGCTTCCTGTGCAGAGGAGTTCCTTTTCCGGAGGGTAGAACAGCTGTTGACCATCTCCAATCAATAACGAGGTATAGAATGTATGGAGATCTACGAGCTGGATGTTAGATACAGAAGCGACGTTATCTTAAAGATCATAAATTTTCGGTCCCTGCGCATGGGCATGTTTGTGTCGCGGGTTCGAATCCCGCTCTTATACTTAATTATGCCCCACACCATGCAGATTTGAGGGGGGGGGGATGACGGATTCTTACCTCGTAACTAGAGAGAGAGAGCAGACGATTAAGCTGTCGCTTTATCCCTGAGAAAAATTATAGGTGAAGTTGTCCTTATGCTTAACTAATTAAGCACTACGCCAAGAAGACGTATGGGGGAGCGGATGTGCAACTCCACTAACCTCTAGCCTCGGCACTAGACTGAGGTGAGTGATCAGATTCACGCCCCGGCCACTTTAACCCCGGTGGAAAGAGATCCAGTACCTATTGGATAGGTTCGTTGAGACCCTGAGCCGGTCTCGACGCTGTGGAGTAAAGTCTGTTGCCCCTGCCGGAAATCGAACTCCGGTCGTCCAGCCCGTAGCCTGTCGCTATCCCGGCTTAGTGTTTCTTTTAAAACGCTATCCAAAAATTCGTCTGGAAGGACCGAAGGTTATCACGAAAACCGGAATCACATGCCGTGCCTAGGACATAACAAGCTTGGTGTTGCACCTCTGTAGTCACTGCGTCGGTAAATTCGCCTAGACTAGAACTGTGTCCCGTATTACACGTACAATACATTTCAAGGGCTCATTTCGCACAAAGTGCCGTCACATGACCCGGAAGCCTTGTAGTGACGACACTATTGTGATACACCTCTCCTTCCTTCCGGTTGCTTTCAGGCACAACTGCTTATACAACTGTTTGTGTTGGTGATAAACCTCAGGCCCACAGCTTCGCATGGTAAGGGGCTACGTGCGTTTGTCTATTTTCGCTTCAGTTCCATCATGCTTGTGGCAGACTATAATTGCAAGGCATGGAATTGCCACCGAGTTATTCTAAATGAGAAGGGACTGAATAAAAAATAGGAACTCTAAGGACCGTTTTCTCGAAGTTTCTGGAAAGAAAATGGCCGGAATTCGTATATGTGGGGAGGGAAGTGGAAGAAGAGTGATATTACTAACAATTTAAAATAAATACATATTTAATTATTCAGCAAAAAACGATAAATTTGAATAAACTTCGTCGTTTATTTACGAGTATCATTCGGCAACATTTGTTATTTCTTTCGCGTTGTGAGGGAGACATTCCGGCACGACCTATCGTTGTAAACCCCTCGAAAATTATTAGCAAGAACTGAAACTTAATAATTATATAATACATACTTCAACTATCTTTTCAAAATTTGCAATAGTATATATATATAAGAGCCGGGATGGCTAAGTCGGTATAGCGACTAGCTACAGGGCTGGACGACCGAGGGGTCGGAGTTTGAGTCTTGATAGGATCAAGAATTTTCACTTCTCCATCGAGTCCAGACCGGCTCTGGGGCCCACTCAGCCTCTCATTCAATGCGTACCGGGGGCTCTTTCCCCGGTGGTAAAGCGGCCGGGGCGTCAAGCTGACCACTCACATCCGACTAGTACTGACGTCAAGAAAACGTTAGTTTATACATCCACTGCCCCCTACGACTTCGTGGCGGAGTGCTTAATTAGTTAAGCACATGGACGATTTTACCTTATATTTCACACACACACACACACACACCTAAAATCTTAACACAGTTATAACAAATGAGAAATGCGACCTATAGATGTTGCGGACTTCTGCCCTGTAGTTTTTAAGATTTAATGAAGTGTAAAAAAAATACGCGAATTTTTGTTATGACTGTACAGGAACATTTTTTAGCTTACTGTTAGTTTAGAGGTCGTGCAGCTATTTACGCTCCTGCTGTCACAGTACAGTCTGACAAGGCCAATAACAAATGCACAGAACTGCACTTTTCTCTGACAGGAAGACACATGAGTCGCGTGAATTTATATATTATCACGTCTCATTATTATAAGGTCACGATATAGCGGAATGTAAGAACCCCGGGTGTACTGTAATATACCGACTTCATCGTTAAATGAACAAGAAATAAGGTAATGAAGAAAGCAGTCTTCTGGGATTTTGCACCGTGTATATGTGGTGTTAACCGACGTTTCTCACGGTCTCTTTGCTTGCAGATTTCTTATATATTTTTTCTTCTACCCTGAAGATGGAGGCGATACGTTCCTCCGAAACGTCGGTTAACACCACATATACACGGTGCAAAATCCCAGAAGACTGCTTTCTTCATAGTCACCGCCGTGAAAGCCTCAAATCTTACAAGAAATAAGGTAAGTTTCTCGAAAGCCCATCAATTGGTTGAAGAGATATTATGTGCGACACATGTTGACTGTGTGATACAAAGACACGTGGTCATAATTGTACCACAATTCTATCTATGTTCCGGTCTAGGAAACCGAAATTAACGGCCGTGGGGATCCGTTCCGCTGACCACGCGAAAATTTCTATCCGCTAAAGTTGGCACTAACTTCGCCGACAAGCGGCGGTCCCTCGGTATGTATAGTCCGCTTGCGGACTACAGGGTACGGAGTTTGTTTTTTGTTCCATCTATATACCTATCTATGGCTCTATGGCCCTTTGTTGGGCCATGGCCGAATTTTCAGTTTCTTAATCTTTTACACAGTCGGCAGGACCTCTTAGACGGGGATCAGCAAGTCGCAAAACCGCTACCTGCACAACAGGACAACATAAACACAGAATAAACGCACACAGATATCCATGCTTCAAGTGGGATTCAAACCTATGATCCCAGTGTTTCAGCGAGCAAAAACAGTTCATGTCTTTTTTTTTTATGTTAGTGGGGTGGGACTAAGTCCCTTGTACTGCGGCCACTTCTGGCCTATTGTACTAGCTCCAGATGATAGGTGAGGGTGATTGTAGAGCAATTGGTGGAATGAAGATTGGCAGGTGAAACCGAAGTACTCGGAGAAAACCTGCCCCAGCGCCACTTTGTCCACCACAAATCTGACTTGACCAGACCCGGGATAGAACCCGGGACGCCAGCGACTAACCGCTTGAACAATGCGCGGCCCTAGTTCATGCCTTAGTCCGCGGGGTCACTTCGATCGACTGCTATGGCAGGAGGGGCAGGAGTCAGTCTTACCGTGTAAAATAAAGAACAGCCTCAAACTGCCTAAATCTTGTTACAGCACTTGGTGAATCTGGAGATACGATGAATGGTGACGCATGCGCATTCCGTCGCCTCTCGCCCAGAATGGCGTACAGAAGGAAGGCAGTCAAATCCGTCAAATCGTACAGTCGTCCCAGAGAAGGGGCAAGGAGTGGTTGGTTGTGGGGTCACGTGTTGTTGTCACACCCTGTCAGTACATGAATGGCTACTTGCACAGTAAAATCACGCGGAGAAATTCTCATCGTTATGAAGTGCGAAGGGGTGAAGCCGGCTTGCTTATAACAAACAGAGGTTATGATCTGAATGTGTTATTTTAGATATAATTTATTTTGCGTTACGGAGGTGTGTTAGAAATGAGAAACTCAGTTCGTTGTGTCTTGTGCTGTACACATTAGCTTTCACAGTAACTGGTAGACAAATCATGGGAGTCAACCAGTCTACACGCGGCATTGAAAGTTCATTGGATGAGGAAGGTCAGTGATGTTTTTATATTAATTTTGATTGTTACAGCAATTGTATTTGTTATAATCAGTTCTGAGGTACGCACTATGGGCAAAGTTGTAAGTTTTGTTATGTGTTATCAAAGAGTATAGCCTTAGGTGGTTACCAGCGTTTCGGATTAATCTGCTGCTTTACCCTGAAGATGGAGGCATTAGGTTCCTCCGAGACATTGTTAACCACCAATGAGGAAAGGCCATTAGCCTTCTAACTTTAATTTTATGTCTATTGTATTGAGATTTGAATATCTCGCGGTGACAGTGATTTAAATTTTGGTCGTCTGGGTTGTGATACTTTGTAGTGGTGGGTGGTTACCAAGTTTCGGATTAACTTACTGTCTCCGTCTTCCGAAATGTTGATAACCAAATACTCTACACGGTGTCACAACCTATAAAATCGCAACGTGGTTTCCTTGTGTTGATTGGTTTATAAAAGAATTTACATGACGAAGATCTTAATAAAATTCACTAAATCTTATATATACAGAATGAGATGGGTTGGATATGTAGCATACATGCGGAAAATTATAAATACAATTGTGAGACCTTAAGGCATAAAATCACATAGGAAACATGGACTTGTATGAGAGGCCTGGCTTAACATTAAACGATTCATGAAAGCCTATTTAGTGTTCCACTTAACTGCTAAGACTTGTAAGAAAGAAGTAAAAGAAACAACACAAAATATTTTAATCACTAACTTCGAAACTACTTAGAAGGTGAAAAGGTACAGTTACCCTTCTTCTCTATTCTGTAATTAAGCACCACGCCATGAACGCATATTGGGAGAATTGTGGTGTAGCTCCATCATCCTTAACGTCGGCACTAGATGGACGTGAGTGGTCAGCTTCACGTCCCGGCCACTTTACCCCTGGGGAAAGAGCCACCGATACCCACTGGACAGCAGACTGGGTGGGCCCCGGAACCTGTCTGGACGACACGGAGAAAAGAAAAATTCTTAAATTTAGTGAGATTCGAACTCCGACCCCGCGGTCGTCAAGTCCGTGGCCAGTCGCGATACCGACTACGCTATCCCGACTCTCAAACAAGGACAATAATAACCTTACGAGGTAGCTGTTCTGTGGATGTACCGAACTCTGTATGTTGAACTGTACTTCATCCACTTTAAGGGCTGCTTTGCCCCCTGCGGGGACCAACAGGTGCTACCCCTATAGGCTCTACATTTCTACAAGGCGTTAATGAGAAAGTGGGGGGTAAAAAGAGAGGGTAGACAAACTTTCCGTTGCTAGAGTACTTCTACATGATTAGAATAACCAGTCAGCTCTCTCTTTATTTTCTCTTCAAGCCCTTGTTTGTTTACTTATATTTGCCTTTACAAGCTATAGTAACAACGTGCTTAATATCTTTTCAGTTAACTTCGATCACTTCCAGATCTTAAGAGCGATTGGAAAAGGCAGCTTTGGTAAGGTAAGTCGTACATTGGTGCAAAATTTTTTTGTTTTCTTCGAAACCCGAAGTGAGAATATCTAAGCAAAAAATCAGTTTAGGTTTACCAAGCCGAGTTTGAACGAAATCGGGCAGGCTGTCTGTGTAACTAATACGGAAGAACAGCAAAGTTTCTGATCTCCGCGCGGACCTAGCAGAGAACGATCGACGATATTATAAAATTTACTCTCTTCTATGACCAATATGTAGGGCAGCCATGGCTGTTGAATCGATGCCCAACTACTGCAGTAAATCAATTGATGCTATTGGAATTCTTATTCCAAAACTCATTTCGTTTAATTACGTCAATATTACGCCTGAAATGGAACCAGCATGATCTGAGAATAAATTCTGCCGATCACAGTGGCCCAGCGAACTAAAGTGCTTATGGTCTGCGTACACACTCGCATTTGGGGTTCGAGTTACACGCGGGGCATTAATATATGCTTTTATGTTGCCGTATATAGCTACAGGGGGAGCCGGGATAGCGCAGTCGGTATAGCGACTGGCTACGGGCTGGACGACTGACGGGTCATAGTTCAAGTCCCGGTAGAGTCAAGAATTTTCTCTTCTCCAATCCGTCAAGACCGGTCCAGACGGCCCAGACCGGCCCTGGGGTTCACCCAACCTCCTATCCAATGGGTGCGGGGGCCCTTTCCCTGGGGGTAAATCGATGGGGCGTGAAGCTGACCACTCAGCTCCGACAAGTACTTAGGTCAAAAACATGTGGATCTACATATCCACTCCCCATACACCTTCATGGCGTAGAGCTTAATTAGTTAAGTACAGTGAAAACTATACCTACATAGCTAGAGGGCCCATCACAATGTCCACATGGCCTAAGGCATGAACTGTCTTCGCCCGCTCGAACACTGGGATCGTAGGTTCGAAACTCAGTAGAGGCGTGGATGCCTGTGTGCGTTTATTCTGTGTTTGTTGTTGTCTGTTTGTAGGTAGTAGCCTTTCGACTAGGCTCTCATTTCAGATTATATGCAAATGTGTCGAAAGGAATTGGAGGGAAGCGATCGTGGCCTACTCAAAATGCTGTACTAATATTTGCTTGGGGGAATTGCAGGGAATCATGAGATACCTCAATCAGGATAGTTGGAGTCCCAACTGAGATTCAAATCCAGCACCTCTGTTACCGCTGTACCAACCTGGTAGGTAATGAGTCATATAAGGTAAACTCGCCCCTGTGCTTACGTAATTTAACACTACGCCATGAAGGTGTATGGCAAAATGGATGTGTAGATCCACATTTTCTTGATCTCGGCATTAGTTGGAGGTGAATGGTTAGCTTCACGTTCCTGCCGCTTTACCCCCGGGAAAGATGCCACAGTACCCATTGTATAGGAGACTGAGTGTGCCTAGACGACGTGAAGAAGAGAAATTTCTTGACACTACCGGGACTCGAACTCCGAGCCCTCTGTCTTCCAACCCGTAGCCAGTCGCTATACCTACTACGCTATCCCGGCTCCAGGAGTTTAATTACGAACTGGAACATTTCTGGGGGGAACTAGCAGTGAAAATGAATAAATGGTGATTAAATCCAAAACTTAACTAAACATCCAGTGTTTAGCGGAAGTTTAGTTTCAAGAGTTTGTACTTCCTGTGCAGTAGGAGAAAGTTCCGTCGCAGTGTATTTTAATGATACCCGTGTAGTTTATAGAAACCCATGACGAAGTAACATGCTAAAACTTCTAGAGTAATTAGGGTACACCTTAATCAATTCCGCTATTGGTTCTAAGGAAGGAAGATCTGCAAGCTCTTGGGCGGTTCTCTGGCTACGCCCAAACCTTTCGGCGAATAATGAAAATGATCTGACGTGCAAATGAGTTTCATGATAGGTGTGGCCGGATTGTAACAACGAAGTAACAGCTGATTACCATAATAGGGAAAGATGGAGCTTCTTTTGACGTAGTGGAATGTAGCTACGTGGACTTACTCATTGAAGGATAATCTTGGAGCGATCGCCCCGTTTAATTCATTATCATGCAGCTGGAAAGTCAATCTCGCAGGGGCTTTTATCAGACAGTGCGATTTGTACGCGAAACTTAAGCCTTCGGGAATATGCCACGTAGAATTTTGATGGTTTCCAATTTTTCGACATATAATGCAGTTTCGATCTCCAGGAAGACTGTCTTTGAAAAGGTTTCGGAATGGCTCTCTTAATTTTTCGGGAAACTTGTAGTTGTAATCACTCACTCACTTACTTGCTTACTTACTAATGGAGATGAGACCTCCTTGAGAAGCTGCTAATTCTGCAGCTACTCAAGAATTTCCCAGCATTTTATGGAAGCCGAAAGTTCATTACCTTGTTCACAAGAGCCCTCCATTGACCCCTATCCTGAACCAGATCAATCCAATCCATCCCATCCCATCCTATCTCTTTAAGATCCATTTTAATATTGTCCACCCACCTACTCCTTGGTCTTCTCAGTGCTCTCTTTCCTTCTGACTTTCCCACCAATATCCTATATGCATTCCTCTTCTCCCCCATTCGTGCTACATGCCCTATCCACCTCATCCTCCTTGACTTGATAATTCTAATTATACTTTGAGAAGAGTACAAGTTATGAAGCTCCTCATTATGCAGTTTTCTCCAACCCCCTGTCACTTCATCCCTCTTCGGTCCAAATGCAGTTGTAATCTCTAGGGTGTATATCTTTGAGGAGATATCTGAATGGTTTTCTAATTTTTCGGCAAACATTGCAGTTGTAATCTTCAGGCTGAATGTCTTTGAGGAGGTTTTGGGTCGGTTCTCTGACTTTTTGGCAAATTTACAGCTGTAATCTGTGGAGTATATATCTTTGAAAATGTTTCGGTATTGGCTTATAACTTTTAGCAGACATTGTTTTGTTGTCTCCAGATGTTTCGGGAGCCGTTAGATATATTTCTAGCCAACGTTGGACAATCCAGAGATGAAAACCCGAAGACATGAATGTGTCCGACGTCGCGGTGGCGCCCTCGGTAGCAGCCGTGGGGCATAGGTGCTTACCCACAAATTTCTTTGCTTCCCGTGATGCTAACGGTCTCGGCCACAGTCTTACTCTTCTGGGCCTGCAATTAAGGACAATTTTGCAGTAGATGAGACCGTGGCTCGAATTAGTTGTAGCATCAATAAGAAGTGTCTGCTGTGATAACAGCGTGGCCTTGCGCTTTGTCTGATCCCCATCCAGGGAATCCTACCTCGTACATTAACATAGATTTATGAAACCTCTACAAGAGACCAAGGCTTGAATCGGGCTGTAGCATCAAATATAATGTGGCATGCCGCCTAAAAGCCAGAATATCTGAGTTAAATAAAACTTCCATTGTTAGGCAACGGCTCGGTATCTACTGTTCCGTATCGTTGTAGGGGTGATAGTGAAACAGGTTCGCGCGACAAACAGACGTTACCACGAAAATGAAAGCCAGGACTATTGCAGTTTCCGCGGCAACGAATACATTTAGTTACCCGTGCATAGAACACGTGAAACGGGACCTTGAACAAGATGTCTCCTAGGCACTCCGACTAGCGGTTATAACAT